ACCACAAGTGGCCTCTCAGGTCGCCTATTGACCATGGTCATGTTCCGCCACGTGATTATCAGCGCAAACTTGGGCTTGAAATCGGAGGCACCGATCATACCCTCCCGGAAGTCATAGTATATGCGATCTCTTAACGTGATATTGAGCTTCGACTCGAGGTTTACGATCTTTAAGTAGACGCCCGCGTGCGGCACTTCCGTAGGTATGTCCTGCTGTGCAAACCAGGGGGCGATCATCGAGGGGTCCTCCTCCATGAAGTTATCCCTGGGTTCGTACGGGAACTTCACGGGAAACTTGTACGACAGTAAACCCTTATTGAAGGCCAGGTAGCCGTCCCTTTGGATCTGTGAATGAATTATGTAATTGAAAACTCGTGTTATGATATAATTGCGTGCATTCGAGTCAACGATATGCTTAATGCCATGAATTAGCAAATTTGTCAATTGCTTTGTTTCTGTTCACATCAACTCAACCATCAAAACAATGATTGCGTTCAATATTTGGCTCATTTTATAGTGGGATTCAAGTTTAGGAGCAATGAGTGAACGCTCTGTAGGTATTCAATGTCTAACTCTAATTGCTATGGCTTTAAGCCATGAGAGGGATGATTGATCTTCAGAACCGCTTAATTGTGTCTATTATTATGTGATCACATAATTGTTGCTCAAGTTTTTCTAATTATGTATACATTTTGCTTATGTTTCTCACTATTCGTGACAACAAAACCGAGTAATTATCGAAGAATTTCATGCAAAAGACATTCAAATGAGGAGTCATTTACCCAAATATAGTGATAATGGAAGCCAAAGAATGGCAGTCGGAATGGCAAGGGCTGGTCGTGTATGGGTTTGGCTGATGTAATCTCCGTGAAGTCGCTCAGGTTGTACGGGTACATGAGCTCCTGTCGGAACTGGATCATATCGCCCAGTATTTGGGGGTCGACCGGTGGCACTGGTCTCGCATTTGCCGGTATAAATATAGGCGCTATAGTCAGCCAAAAAAATAATTATACAGAAATATAACATTATATATAATAAAAGTTTAATCCAATCAAAGATTTATAGTTAAAATTAAAAAGTAAGCCTAAGTTTTGTAAAGGTATTGGGATATGGAGTACGAGAAAAGCAAACAACTGTTCACTTCAATGGATAACTTATTTACAGTTAAGGGATCATTCAATAAGTACGTACGCACTGGATGGGGGGGTCAATTTTTAGACAAATTTTTGCGTACGTACTTATTGAATGGCCCCTTAAAAAGTGATCGCGAGTTATGAAAGCTTATGAGCAGTACATTGCTATCGACGTTAGGCTAACGGTAACCTATTTTACAAATCTTTGTTTAAATGGATACTATAATTTACTAATGGATTAAATGATTGAATATTAATCCACAAAATGGCATTTAAAGCCAAAGTCATACATACCCTGTCCTGAGCGCACTGGCCCATGATTTAGATCCTGGGATTTACTTATGGATGAGAATAATATGACTGTGAATATGAATGATGTGAATATTCTTGTGCTTTGAAAACTATTTAAATTCATTTTCTGATAGATAACTTTTCGTATGGTATGAATACTTTAAAACTTTCACATTATATGAATAATGAAATTGACGGTATTATTCCTTGTATTATATAGTTGTGTTATTGCGCTATGTTTTTGCAAAAACTTTATTAAATTTAATATTTTAATATCTAAATAGTGAAGTATATCGGTTTAAAGATAAAAAGTTGTACTTATGTACATACGTACTTACGGTATATACTTTTTTATGAAATTTAAGATTGTTTTGTCAACGGATTAGTAGTAGTTTCCCAAATTGTGTGAAATTAATATTTCAAACTCTAATTATATTGAATTTTATCCTAAAATGCTAAAATCTTAAAATTAAGAGGACTGGAGATAACAATTAATATGAACGTTATATTGGTTGAGACCCTCTATTACATTAGACTTTTTCACTATTTAGATATTAAATATTAGGTATTATTCCTTGTATTATATATTTGTGTGATTGCGCTGTGTTTTTGCAAAAACTTTATTAAATATATCAGTGGATAAAAAGATATAAAAGTTGATTAAGTTGTACTTATGTAGCATACTCACACTCATACAGTAACAACTTACTGGTTAATAAACTTTTTATCTTTAAACCGATATACTTCACTATTTAGATATTAAAATATTAAATTTAATAAAGTTTTTGCAAAAACACAGCGCAATAACACAAATATATAATACAAGGAATAATACCTAATATTTAATATCTAAATAGTGAAAAGGTCTAATGTAATAGAGGGTCTCAACCAATATAACGTTCTAATTAATTGTTATCTCCAGTCCTCTTAATTTTAAGATTTTAGCATTTTAAGATAAAAGGAAAAATTTTATGGCTTTTCTTAATCTATATAATCTCTACGACAGTGGCATCTGATCCAATAAATCTGATAATAGGGTAATCATTAGATACTTTAAAGTTATACTAAAGTAATATACTATATATTATATAACTATTAGCTAATCTAGATGTTAGTGAGATTATTTATAATCTATTAAACACATGTTTAGGTAAAAAAGGACATTTCCAGATCAAATGTCTTAAAGATATTGTCATAATTTTCTCATAAGTTTCACAATTAGTTCATTGGATTTATGGGATCAGGTATTTGGCACGACTGTACCACAGAATTGATGTATGATTTCTATTAAAAATAAGTCACGAATTGATAGACAAATCGCATTACATAATGAGAAAAAAGTAAAATACAATTAATATGTGTTTTGCAGAGGAAGGATACGACGGAAATGCAGCGACAGGTGAGTACTTTCCGTATTGGTTGAGTCCGGGACACGAGTGTATCCGCAATGGCAGCGACAGACAGTGCCGCGAGTACTGCCGTAGGATCGNGGTTGAGTCCGGGACACGAGTGTATCCGCAATGGCAGCGACAGACAGTGCCGCGAGTACTGCCGTAGGATCGGTATATCACCGGACAATTGCTCATGTAGACTCGGCGAGTGCAAATTCCCCAAAAGGCATCTCAATGTCTCGCAAACATTGAACACACCAAACAATAACTAATCTATACATCCATATACCGATCAATACACAGAATATAATATAATATACTGTATTATGCACGTACGTGTGTGTGTGTATAATTACATGGGGGCTGTCCATTGGCTCATTCAATGATATTTATATTTGAATATATTTTTTACTGAATCATTGTTTTGTAATAAATGTTAATGTGATTTCTTTTGAATACAATTTTAATAAAATAAGACTTGTGGACAATTGATTTGTGTAACTCAATCTTAAGAGTTACTTGTGAATTCAATTTTTTATCACAATTTCAAAATATATTGCTTTATGTTTGTACTGAATAAGTAAAATTAATTTCAAAGTTTAATATCGCACTAAATTGCGATACATGTACAGTATTGTAAAACCCAGTATAAATTAACAAAATGGTATAGTCAAATGATTTTTTCATGTCTTAAGAGTGTGGTAATATGTGTAGTAATGGTATTCCTAAGGCAGGCCTCCCTCTCGCTGAGCCCTAAGCGACCGAAACATTTAAATGAGTGAAAAATTAAATCAATTTTTGTCACACCTCTCGCCACACAACTGATTAAGAGTGAGATCTAAATTCAATATGAATTACGGTTTAAATTGCCGCCAATTTTGAAGCACCTAAAAGGGCTGCAAAAATACATTTTCAAAAGTGATTCTCAGACACGAAAATGAGATCAAAATTGAGGATGACCAAACCAATGATTTGTATATTTAGGAGCCCTTAAGTCAGTCGATGGTATAAATATGGACTTAATTTAAACGAAACAAAATTGTGTCTCAATTTCCATCTAACCTTCAGATCAGATGTAAATCCTCTCTCAACAGGATTTCAATTCTTAAAAAGTATTTTATAATAAGGGATGATTCACATATTACGTTCGCACTTTTTGGGAAATCTTAACCCCCTCCCCCCTTATGTTCGCAATTGTTCGCATGTCGCCATGTTCAACTAAAATTACGTTAGCATGTGCTTAACCCCCCCCCCTCCTTCCCAAGAAACCAAATTTAAGTAAATTTATAAATAATTTATTA